TGTGTGTGTGACGACAGCAGCATCAGGAAATACTGTAGTGAAATTAGCAGATAGCATCACTGATAGCACAGACACACACCTGAGCTATTGTGCTGGAGAGGAAGAACAACACATCTGTCTCACACACACACACACACACACACACACACAAACTCACTGCGTCACACACACACACACACACAAACTCACTGCGTCACACACACACAAACACAAACTCACTGCGTCACACACACAAACTCACTGCGTCACACACACACACACACACAAACTCACTGCGCCACACACACACACACACAAACTCACTGCGTCACACACACACACACACACAAACTCACTGCGTCACACACACACAAACACAAACTCACTGCGTCACACACACAAACTCACTGCGCCACACACACACACACACAAACTTACTGCGTCTCACACACACACACACACACACACAAACTCACTGCGTCACACACACACAAACTCACTGCGTCTCACACACACACAAACTCACTGCGTCACACACACACAAACTCACTGCGTCACACACACACAAACTCACTGCGTCTCACACACACACAAACTCACTGCGTCACACACACACACACACACACACACACACACACAAACTCACTGCGTCACACACACACACACACAAACTCACTGCGTCACACACACACACACACACAAACTTACTGCGTCTCACACACACACACAAACTCACTGCGTCACACACACACAAACTCACTGTGTCTCACACACACACACACAAACTCACTGCGTCACACACACACAAACTCACTGCGTCACACACACACAAACTCACTGCGTCTCACACACACACAAACTCACTGCGTCACACACACACAAACTCACTGTGTCTCACACACACACACACAAACTCACAGCGTCACACACACACAAACTCACTGCGTCACACACACACACACACAAACTCACAGCGTCACACACACACACACACACACAGACTGCGTCACACACATACACACCACTGACCAGCTCAAACTCACTGCGTCACACACACACACACACACACAGACTGCGTCACACACACACACCACTGACCAGCTCAAACTCACTGCGTCACACACACACACACACACACACACACACCATTGACCAGCTCAAACTCACTGCGTCTCACACACACACACACACACACACACACACACACACACACTTGAGTGTGCAACACAGCATCAGAGCAACACAGCATCCATATAATCGTAAGGAGCACATGATGTGTCACAGTAAGCAGCGTGCAGTTATTGATGATCTCTTGTGTGGCACTATTAGACACTCAATGCATTCTGCGCGCAGTATTAAGTAACTTGATTAAGGATAGAGATGGCATCGTCTTCTCCACACATGCAGACTGCCTATTACTGCAGATACAGAGCAATACTTTGCAGTGTGTTTAGAGTGTTTTCACTGAGTCCGGCAGTGTGTAGTCCCCTCACACACCGCTTATGAACGTGCCCTAGGCTAGCGTAAATTAAAACCACACACCTTGTGTTGTAGCCACACACTTTCAGAGCATTCACTAACGGTTGATATTTCAGCATATTCAGCACAGATCCATGTATGAGTCAAAACAGCAGCCTACTTCCATCATCAGAGAGTTTCTCAGTACTTCATCCACAACAACAACATCAGGAGTGTTTGGAAAATCTCTAATGCCGGCACTCAGAACATGTGCATTACTGCTCAGTGATGGAAACCAGTTCACTCGTACAGTCTTGTTAGTGTATAGTGCACTGTGCACACTGACTCTGTCCACCTCTTTAGCTGTGATGTTCACAATGCGATCGTGACGTGTGATGTACATGCCTCTGACCGCGGGGCAGCCGTTCATCTTGTGCGCTGTTGATTCCACCGCTCTATCGCTATGTAGTCAGCAGAAGGGCTCGTGGTGTTTCGGGTACCACACGGACAGATGAAACTTTGTAGGAAGTGTTTGTAAACGAGCTCTAATGACAAACTTAAGAATAGTGTGGTCAATAGCGGGGTTGTGTAGCGCAGTGTGTGAGACTGTGTGATCCGCGCTCTGCAGGCAGGCCAGTTTGCCCTGCAGCCGCAGATGAGTCCAGTAACTGCGCTGCTGTGTGTAAGAGTGCTGGAGAATCTCATACCTGCACGTCCTGCCCTTCAGCTCCTTCTTTTCTCCACCATTATCTAAAGTTGCTTCAGCAGATGTGTTATCAATGTCCATGATCGCCTCATCGCTGACTTTCACCTGCTGTCCGCTCGTGTTCCTCCAGCTCAGCTGTATGTTATTGCTGCTGCACAAGTCATTCAGGTCCGGCCAGTCTGAGCGCACTCCAAATCCCACAGACGCTGTATCCAGCCTACCATTGAGTTTCTTTCTGAATCCTAAGAAACTTGGTTCTCCTTCAGCTGCATATGGCACCTTGCGTTTACCCAGATCCAGAAGGAGTGAGCTCCGGGCTAGCCTTTGTACTGTCGGGTCATCGCTGTTCAACATGTGCAATAGATGGTTTATCCTAGTAGCTGTGTAGATCCACTCGATATTGGGAAACCCGAGTCCGCCCTCTGTTTTATTAGTGAATAAAATACTTCTTGTCATGTGTGTATTAAGACATAGCCATTTTCACGCCAGCTGCACAGCCTTATCATTCATTTGCTGAAAGATTTCTTTGGGATGTGTACGTTAGCAAACAGAGGTTGTGTTTTGGAGAGAGCGATCTCACAAACTGCTTGGAGTTTTAGGCTGTGTTCACACCTGTGAATGGATTCAGTTGTTCTGAAGCAGAGATTGTAATTGTTGCAGTGTTGCTCTTTGCTCTTAGAGCGGTTCGCTTTCACACGGCAAAGTTTCTAATCGGACCTAAAGAGCTAAAACAAGTCACGTGCGAGTAAACTCTCCTCACATTGGTCAGAGTGTCAGGGTTTATTTTGCAGCGTCCCGCTCAGCTGTCAGGAGAGGTGGTGGTTTAGTGGTGATTGACAGGGTGCGCGCGACGTGTCTGAGGAGAGATGCGGTGAGGAGGGGTGAGAAGGGTGTGTGACGATGCCTATTTGAGACGCGAGATTACCGGGAGATCATCACTCGTTTGCGGGCATCCGGAGACTCGCGAAACTTCCCGCCCTGCTCATAATTCTCTCTTCATATAGCCGTAAGCCTATTACATATCCATAAACACTGAGATATAACCGCGCTCGGATCGCTTTCTCACTGCAATCGAACCGCTCCAGGGTTCGTTTCAATCGAGCCGAGACCACCTCACTCAAGCGATCTCGGAGCGATTACTTTGGCGCAGAACAGAGCGCGATTGCCCTGTTCACATATGCCAAACGAACCGCGCTAACTGGGCAAACGAGACACGTTCCCAAACAACAGTGTAGGTGCGAAAGCAGCCTGAGACAAAAGTGTAGGTGTGAAAGCAGCCTGAGACAGGCTGGTAGGGGACAGCGATCTATTTTGTCCAGTCTGCTAAAATATTCATTGCAGATTTCATTCAGTTGTTCTTGCCATTCTCCAGCTACGGTAAATTTATGTCCAAGGTAACTATAAGTCTCATGTCTGGCATAAACTCTGATCGCATTTCCTGAGATTGTGAACACAGGAGGATGGTCATATTTGGCTCTGTACCACCTGTTGCCGCCGGATCAGCGTTCATAAAACACTGCACACTTGCTGTTCTTCACCTCGAGTCCAGACCACTGCAGAAAGCGGTCAGTGTCTGACAACATATTGGTAATGACATTTTCCTCTCTTGACACTAAGACGACGTCATCTGCGTAGGCTTGGACGGGATTCTGAGATATGCCATCGGGCGGGGCGAGGAGGCAGATCCATTTCAGCCATTGGTTTAATGCCAGAATAAAATTCACTGCGCTCCAGAGACAGCCTGTCTTAATTCCAACTGCAAGCTTTATGGGTTTTGTCAATTGCTGTCCGCACATTACTTGTATAAAAGATTTCTCATATACATCCTTAATTATCCGTCTGTGCTGCTCTGGCAGGTTTATCTCTTCAAGAGAGCGAATCCTTTCACTATGAGGTAAAGACCCAAAAGCATCCCGAAAGTCAAGAAACACTGCAAAAAAAAGCGGGAGGACTCGTGTTTAAGGTCATCAATATCAGTCTTCAAACAGAAGACATGTTCGTTCATTCCTTGCCTCTCTATATATGCTTTTTGCTTTGTTGATAGTATACCAGAATCCACAAGCCAAGGCAGAATACGATTCACAATGCATTTCAATAGGTGGAGGGCTCTTCCGGAATGTTGTCTTTCTCGGGAATCCTGTGGATGATGGCTCCTTTCCACAAATCAGGAACTTTTCCATTGATTAAGCAGACATTGAAAATCTGAGTTAACGTCGTGGCTGTAAAGTGTTTTGTCGCTTTAAGCACTTCATAAGTGACCCCGTCAGCTCCGCAAGCCTTGTTGTTGGGAAGGCTGAGGAGCACTTCTGTGATTTCATTTGTGGTGAAGTTGGAAGTTCTGGGCTGTGTGTTGGTACCAACCGGGCCAAGGATGCCACACCATGGGGGGCTGTCGCGCTGGTGGTGCTGCTGCCTCGGTCCACACTTCTTAACATAGTATTCATATACCTTAGACACGTCACTTATGGCAGGAGGAGGGATCGGGTGAGTACTGTTATTTAAGATGATGTCAATGGCTTTACCTCTACCATGTTTCCAGAGATAGACCAGCTCGTTTTGGCTCACCTCAGTTGACTCTCTCGCTCTGCTGGATTTTGTCGCTCTATTGAGCGCTGGTTGAATAGTTTCCCGTATGTAGCGCAACTGGTGATCTGTCCATTCAGTGAGTGTGTGCTGTTCAGATGCGAATGGGAATGCTCCACAGAGAGGGAATTTTCTCAGAATTCTCGCTGTATATTTCAACAAAGGCAGGCCCAGTGGCCGTCCGTCTCTGTGCACTATTGTGTAAGTTCTGTTCTTATAAAATACTCCACAGAGGATGGGTATTAATTTTGTCCAATGACGCGGGTCGATACCGGTAAAGAGTATGACTTGTCTATCGCTCATTCATTTCACGTCCAGAGTTCAATTTATTTGTTTAGTGCAACATGTTTGCGCGTGGGAGCAATCACCATGTTACTCTCACACACACACAAACACCACTGACCAGCTCAAACTCACTGTCACACACACACACACACACCACTGACCAGCTCAAACTCACTGTCACACACACACACACACACCACTGACCAGCTCAAACTCACTGTCACACACACACACACACACCACTGACCAGCTCAAACTCACTGTCACACACACACACACACACCACTGACCAGCTCAAACTCACTGTCACACACACACACACACACCACTGACCAGCTCAAACTCACTGTCACACACACACACACACACCACTGACCAGCTCAAACTCACTGTCACACACACACAAACACACACACACACACACACCACTGACCAGCTCAAACTCACTGTCACACACACACACACACACACACACACACACAGACTGCATCACATACACACACACACACACACACACACACAGACTGCATCACACACACACACACGCAGACTGCATCACACACACACACACACACACACACGCAGACTGCATCACACACACACACACGCAGACTGCATCACACACACACACACACACACACACACACAGACACAGACTGCATCACACACACACACACACGCAGACTGCATCACACACACACACAGACTGCATCACACACACACACACACACACAGACTGCATCACACACATGACACACACACACACACACACACACACTCACACACACACACACACACACTGCATCACACACACACACACACACACACACGCAGACTGCATCACACACACACACACACACACACACACACGTTTACAGCTCTACACTGTTTCTCCGAGTGACAGAGAGTGTCTGTGTTTCCTGCAGGTCACAGTGAGCCACAGATCTTCATCTTCATCGTCCTCCAGCTGAGTGTGTGTGTGTGTGTGAGTGTGTGTGAGTGTGTGTATGGAGCTCCAGCTGAACGCCGCCCGGCCGGCAGGCTGTGGTGCAGCTCTGGCCCCGCTGTACTGGCCGCTGTGTGCTGGCTGGGGGATTGCGGTGCAGGCGGCGGCCGCTCTGGGTCTGCTGTGCAGTGTGGTGCTGATGCTGGCTGTGCTGCCGCTCTGCTGCCGCCGCCACCAACCCGCCACCCTGCCCGACGCCCTGCCCACCTCCCTGTCTGCGCTGCTGCTGTTCCTGATGGCCACGGCAGGCATCTTCGCCCTGCCCTACGCCTTCATCATCTCACTGTCACCCCAGACCTGCCCGGTGCGGGTGTTTGTGTTTGGCGTGGCCTTCAGCCTGGCGTTTGGTGGCTTGTTGGCACGCGCTCTGGCTCTGCTGCAGCTGCCGCTGGCACGCGGGTGGAGGGAGGCAGGGCTGGCAGCGGTTCTGGCACTGGTGCAGGCAGTGCTGGCGGCCGAGTGGCTGCTGGTGGTGCTGGTCCAGGACGGTCGGAGCTGCCACTACACCCCGCCGCAGTTCGCCATGCTGCAGATCTACGTGCTGCTGCTGCTGGCGGTGGCACTGGTGTCCGCTATCCACCTGCTCCGCCACACCGGCGTCAGCTACAGCTACAGCTCCAGCGGCCACGCGCACCGCCGGCTCACCCTGCAGGGGGTGCTGCTCCTGCTGACGCTGCTGCTGAGCGCCGCCATCTGGGCCGTCTGGATCGCCATGCTCACATTCGGGAACCGCAGCGCTGCCTGGGACGACCCACTCATCAGTGTCGCACTGGCGGCCAACGGCTGGGTGCTGCTGCTGGGGCATGGCTTCACTCAGGTCCTCTTCATGTTCAAGCACAAGGCTCGTCCCAAAGACCCGCCGCTGGACTTCATGGGCTGGACGAGTGCCGGGATGCAGATGGAGCCCAAAACCGGCCTGGAAAACAGCGGCTACCAGACGGCGGACAGAAGAGGTGAACACACACACACACACACACACACACACACACACTGCATACAGAGAAGCACACACATTTTAGGGGGGTTGATGGTGGGGTGGTGGGTAAGTGAAGAGCGGGGGGGTTCAGAGAGTCACAGTGGCAGGCCAGACTGAATGAAGCATGCACTGCAGTCCCACACAATCCCAGCATGCACTGCAGTCCCACACAATCCCAGCATGCACTGCAGTCCCACACAATCCCAGCATGCACTGCAGTCCCACACAATCCCAGCATGCACTGCAGTCCCACACAATCCCAGCATGCACTGCAGTCCCGCTGCTCCTCTGGGTAAAGCTCTGTGTGTTTGTGTTGCAGGTGAAGAAGACGCAGCGCCTGCAGTC